CCTTAAATAAGGGTTTCCCCTCTACGTATGTTATAAACTATTCCATAATTCCTGTAACATCATGTGTTAACTTGCTGTGGTTTCATGTCGAAATAATACAGAGCTAACTAATTTAAATTTTTTATGGGAGATAAGTTTTATCAGCTTACTATTTATTATTGTGTCTGACTCTTTCTTCATTTTAGAACTTTATGAGAATTATGAAGACCATGATTAAATGTTAAAAAATTAAGTATTTGATTTCTACCCTTTGTTTCCTGCCCTCCTTTTTTCTTCTTTCCTTAGTTTGACAATCCAAAGCACATATACACTCATATTCACTCTTTATTATAGTTGGTATTTACTTGGTCCCTTTTCTCCTTGATGTGAAATAGTCACAGCTAATATTTCGTTTTATTTTTGCTATTTTTATTCAGTTAAAACTAATATTGATGACAACCAAAACTAAAAAAGAAATTACTGTTTTTTGCTCATATCTTGATATTTAGTTTTATGCTTAATAGCAGCTTCTTGAATTGACTAAGAGATATTTCACATTATTACTTAAAACTTCCTCTTTTTTCTCTCTCTCTTTTTTTTTTTTTTTTGTTTTTGAGACAGAGTCTTGCTCTGTCCCCCAGGCTGGAGTGCAGTGTCTCAGTCTCAGCTCACTGCAACCTCAGCCTCCCAGGTTCAAGTGATTCTCCAGCCTCAGCCTCCCTAGTAGCTGGGATTACAAGCATATGCCACCATACCCAGCTAATTTTTTTGTATTTTTAGTACAGAAGGTATTTCACCAATGTTGGCCAGGCTGGTCTTCAACTCCTGACCTCAAATAATTCACCCACCTCGGCCTCCCAAAGTGCTGGGATTACAGGCAGGTGTAAGCCACCGCGCCTGAAAACCTGCCATTTTTGAATGAGAGATTGAAGTGGGAAAAAAAGGTTCCAGTTAAAGACTATTAGACTAGGGCCGGGCGTGGTGGCTCAAGCCTGTAATCCCAGCACTTTGGGAGGCCGAGGCGGGTGGATCACGAGGTCAAGAGATCGAGACCATCCTGGTCAACACGGTGAAACCCCGTCTCTACTAAAAATACAAAAAATTAGCCGGGCATGGTGACGCGTGCCTGTAATCCCAGCTACTCAGGAGGCTGAGGCAGGAGAATTGCCTGAACCCAGGAGGCGGAGGTTGCGGTGAGCCGAGATCGGGCCATTGCACTCCAGCCTGGGTAACAAGAGCGAAACCCTCTGCCCCAAAAAAAAAAAAAAACGAAAAAAAGACTATTAGACTACTCAAAACTAACAGTGAGTTGTAAATCTTTCTAGATGGAGTCCTCAACCTCATTAAAATTTATCACAAATTTGCTTAGGCATTTTATCATGAAGACTAATTTCTTCCCAGAGGGGCTGTCTATACATTTGATTTTCAAGAGTCCTGTCACAGATTAGAACTTTCTTACTGTAGACTAAAACAATCTGGTCCTAGTGATCTTTTATGTCACCATATTCCAACTACATTCAACTGCCTATAGATCTCAAAGCTAAAAAATGGCAATGGACCAAAAAGTAAACATGCCAGTTGGTAATCCATGCACTTACAGGCATGAACTGTTGACTAAGGGTTAGGTTGAGTTTGAAGCAAATGAATAAAAATATTTATCCAGTGATTTACAAAGCAGTTTTATGTCTATTATCAATAGAACATTTTCACAGCCCTGCTAAATATTAAGTATTGCTATTATCCTAGTTTTACATAGAAGGAAAGTGTTACTCAGAATTGAAGTTTGCTTAAGATTCTGTAGCTTCTGAATGACAGGCCTAGGATTGGGATTTAAGTTATTTTACTCTGTTCCTTTTTTTTAAATCCTGACATGTCCCTTTGTTTCCTCCAGATTAATTCTTTAGTGTTCCAATATACAGACTACTAGAGTCTCTAGAGAGACTACGAGAGTAATCTAAAGTATTCCTCCTGGATTGCTAACTGTCCCACTGACCTTATATACAAGAACAACAAGCAATTCCCAGGTTCTACCCAATATGTATTGGAGTAGAATCTTCAGAGTGTAAACTATGTATCTATGTGTTCTACAGCAGGGGCCCTCAGTCCCCCACAGACCACTACTGGTCCAGGGCCTGTTAATAGGAACTGGTCCTCACAGCAGGAGGTGAGCTTTAATGCCTGAGTTCCGTGTCCTCTCAGATCAGCAGTGGCATTACATTTTCATAGGAGCAAGAACCCTACTATGAACTACACATGTGAGTGATCTAGTTGTGTGCCCTTATGAGAATCCAACTAATGCCTGATGATCTGAGGTAGATCAGTTTCATCCGAAAAACATTCCCCCCATCCCTGTTCATGGAAAAACAGTCTTCCATGAAACTGGTCCCCGGTGCCGAAAAGATTGGGGACCACTGAGGTCACTCTGATAGTCAAGTTTGGAAGGTATTACCTTTAAAGCATCTAAGACCCTTTGGAAGAAAAGTAGATTCGTTTAAAAACATTACTATATTTGTGAACACTTTTTACTTTATAAACTTACGTAGGCAGCTACCTAACAATGCCTTAAAAACAGGTTCCAACTTGGTGGAGGAAACTCCAGGGCGATGGCAAGTGACAGGGTCTTGAGCAGCAAAAATGCATTACCTAGAGTAGATATGCTGAATGAGACACACTGAACTAACACACCACCTCTTCATAAACAAGCAGAACATACCATAACTGCAAAAAAAAAATAGCTTTTTCCCATCTCATTTGAAGGTAAACAAGCCGACACAATGCAAACCTGTAAAAAAATTCTAAGTCAGCTTTTTTTATCTTTTCCCCTTGATATTGAAAGAACATCTTCAAAGATCTAGTCATTTTAAAGATAGCAGTGTTTGATAACCAATCTGATTCACTGTTTATAATTATGCTTCAATTAAAAATCATTCACATGATCATTTTAAAACAGTTCATTTGCATCTTATACTCTTATATCCTTATATTTAATTGTGGAAAGAAGAATTCTCATAAGTTTAAAGAATTTCAAATATTGCCTCTTAAGTTGGGAAGGTGGTTGGAGCATATATATATCCCTTAATAGACCACAACTCACAGGCCATGTCCCAGTCTACTCCTCTTTTCCTACTGTCAGAAACATAATATCTCGTTTGTTACTTTGTAATTTTAACCCTCTCTCTTCCACCTGTTCCACAATCTGAAATTCTAATAAAAGCCACACTTCTATTACTTCTGTTAATATTTGTGGTGATTAACTTTCTTATAAACTAATATATTGCTTTTGTTTTATTTACTAGCTCTTACTCTGCTCTATGATTTTGCTTGGGACCTTTCTTATTATTAATAAAGAATACACATGAATATTTATTTTTAAAATGTATATCCTACCTTGTTCCAGGAAAAATTTAACATGGCTTCTTAATAAATAAATGGGTTAATTAATAAAATAGGATAAATAGAAATATAATTATGAGAGCTTAAGTGGTACCATGAAACACACTTCGAGAACTAGCCGTTCAGTGTTCATAAATTTACCTTTGCAGTGCCTCTCACAAAAAAAAAAAGTAGTATCCTTTCTGTAACATTATGGTTAAGGTCTAAGATTCAATTGTGGGTGTGCTAGAAATGAATCCTCACATGCCTCTTAAGGAAGAAGTCACTTTTTTCATAAAATTTCTTTCCTACCTTTTTAATTTTTGCAATTTTAAAACTTTCTCATTAATGTAAAATATAGAATAAATCAGAGACCAGTATTTAAGCAACGCACTATTTTGTTTTTGTTTATAGAAAAGTGAAAACTAAAATTGAATGAAGGACTGACTTTAGCCAAATAATCAAAAGTTTTGTGTCACTTTTCTATAATAGCCTTTTTTTTTTTTTTTTTTTTTGCTACAATGGCCACTGCTTTTTCTTTTTCTTTTTGTTGAGATGAAGTCTTGCTCTCTTGCCGAGGCTGGAGTGCAGTGGTGCAATCTTGGCTTACTACAACCTCTGCCTCCCAGGTTTAAGTGGTTTTCCTGCCTCAGCCTCCTGAGTAGCTGGGATTACAGGCACATGCCACTACACCCAGCTAATTTTTCTATTTTTAGTAGAGATGGGTTTTGCCATTTTGGCTTGCCATTTGGATCTATTTGAGTGGTAAATTCCATGGTAAAGTTCTGGCTCTCACTGAGTTTTGGCTATGTCAGCTATACCTAAAGCATATGCTTTTATTTTTAAGAGGCCTAGACTTAAGATTTTTTTTTTTTTTTTTTTTTGGAGATGGAGTCCTGCTTTGTCACCCAGTCTAGATAGAGTGCAGTGGCACGATCTGAGCTCACTGCAACCTCCACCTCCCGGGTTCAAGCAATTCTCCTTCCTCGGCCTCCCAAGTAGCTGGGACTACAGGCACACACTGCCACACCTGGCTAATTTTTTACAGGTGTGCACCACTGTGTCTGGCTAATTTTTGTATTTTTAGTAGAGACGGGGTTTCACCATGTTGGTCAGGCTGACCCACCTCAGCCTCCTAAAGTGCTGGGATTACAGGCGTGAGCCACCGTGCCAGGTGCCTTCTTATTCTGTTGTCCCTTGTCAACCTCTGAGATGCCTTCAAGGAACCTCTTAAGATATCCCAGAATACCTTTTCTATGGGACCTTTTTAAAAGTAGTGTGTATTAACCTCTTTTCTAGATAGTGCTTCATACACTAGAAAGAGAAAAGCATAAAGATAGTGCCAGAGACTAAGGGAACCTGAAAAATCAAATAATTGCCTTTTGCTACTTGCTAACAGCCTAGTAAAGATTTGGTAGAAGTAGTATTTAGACCTTTGTAAAATGTTTTAGTGTCAATGGGTTTACATAATTCATCTATTTCCTATCCCATATTGCTATGGAACATAGTATATAGATCATTTAGATTCAGCTGTATGCAGCTTTTCCATTAGAGTTACTAGTGTCATCCTCAAGGTAACAGACACTAATAATTAGAACTCTCCCTCTTTGGTTTTCTGGTATCTCTCTATACTCTTGACTCTTATATAGAACAAAGAACTTTGAGTCTGGCAAGGCATATAAGACAACATGGGGAGATTGCGGAGAAAACTCACCTAGCAATGTAATATCTAAACAGCCAAACCGGGTGACAAATGGTCAGCCTCAGCAGCCAACGACAGGAGCAGCCAGTGGTGGATACATTAAACGGTATGCCAACTCCTCCCAATATTCCTGTACCTTTCTTAATGAATGGTTCACTTAGGAGATGAGTTTAGCAGTACATGACCCCTAACTAATAAGAAATAGAAATTGTATTTATTCCATTTTTATAAAATGCACTTAAAAATCTGCCTACTTTAGCTGGGCATAGTGGCTCATGCCTATAATCCCAGCACTTTGGGAGGCTGAGGTGGGTGATTCAGCTGAGGTCAGGAGTTCAAGACCATTCTGGCCAACATGGTGAAACCCCGTCTCTATAAAAAAACAATAAAAATAAAAAAAATAAATCTGCCGCCGGGCGCGGTGGCTCAAGCCTGTAATCCCAGCACTTTGGGAGGCTGAGACGGGTGGATCACGAGGTCAAGAGATCGAGACCATACTGGTCAACATGGTGAAACCCCGTCTCTACTAAAAAAAATACAAAAAATTAGCTGGGCATGGTGGCACGTGCCTGTAATCCCAGCTACTCAGGAGGCTGAGGCAGGAGAATTGCCTGAGCCCAGGAGGCAGAGGTTGCGGTGAGCCGAGATCACGCCATTGCACTCCAGCCTGGGTAACAAGAGCGAAACTCCGTCTCAAATCAATCAATCAATCTGCCTACTGACAAAACGTGTTTTTTTGTTTTTTGCTTTTTGTTTGTTTGTTGTTTTTTTTTGAGACAGAGTCTTGCTCTGTTGCTCAGGATGGAGTGCAGTGACGCAATCTCAGCTCACTGCAACCTTCGCCTCCCAGGTTCAAGCGATTCTCTTGCCTCAGCCTCCTGAGTAGCTGGGACTACAGGTGGGCGCCACCACGCCAAGCTAATTTTTGTATTTTTAGTAGCGATGGGGTTTCACCATTTGACCAGGCTTGTCTTGGACTCCTGACCTAGGGTGATCCGCCTACCTCGGCCTCCCAAAGTGCTGGAATTATGAGCATGAGCCACCATGCCTGTCCAGACAAAATATTAACTGTGGTGGTTGCCCTTGGGTGGCAGGATTAACTTTTCTGTATACTTTTCAATACTTTTCAAATTATTGAAGTAGGCATATTTTACTTCTGTATATAGAAAAAAATATGTTTTAAAATACATCATCTTAGAGCCAGGGTCAGCTAGATTCCTATAAGACTATCTGTAATGAGCCAGAGAATCAATATTTCAGACTTTTCAGGCCATACAGTCTCTTGCAATTACTCAATTCTGTTGTAGGGTGAAAGCTGGCATAAACAATATATAAACAAAGGAGCATAGCTGTGTTTGAATAAAACTTTATTTACAAAATCAGATGGTGGCCAGATTTTATCCTTGGGCCGTAGTTTTCTAACCTCTGTTTTAGAGCAGTGGTTCTTTAGAACCACCTGAGGGGCTTATTAAACCATAGGTTTCTGGGATGCATTTACAGTTTCTGATTTATTAGGTCTGGAGTGGAGTATGAGAATTAGCATGTTCCCATGTCTAACAGCTTCCCAGGTGATGCTGGGAGTTACACTTTGAGAAACACTATTTTAGAGTTGTTTCTTAATCTTTTCTTACATGGCTTTAAGACACTGTGTCCTCCTTGATGAGTCTTTCAGTTTTTATTATAGAATGTTTTCCAAGAATGGTAACCTATATTCCTTTGGATCTTATACTTGCTTAGAGTCATTTTGGTTACTTATTTTTGTGAAAATTAAATCCAGACTTACTCCATTTAAATTAAACAAAATCTATGGAATTAACTATCTTTTTGTGATAGCATAACTAATGATGCCAGAGAAGATGAAATGGAAGAGAATCTGACTCAAGTGGGCAGTATCCTGGGAAATCTAAAAGACATGGCCCTGAACATAGGCAATGAGATTGATGCTCAAAATCCACGAATAAAACGAATCACAGACAAGGTAAAAAGCTTTTTATTGCTATAAGAAAATGAGACATCTGGTTCAGTGTTTCAGTAATAGATATCTGTGCTAGATAATGTGGGGGACACAGTAGGATAAGCTCCTATCCTCATAGGTCTTAGTTCTGATGAGGTGGTGGTTCTAACGCATAAAACAAGAGCCAAGTCCTCCCCTCTCATGGCAGTTGGTGCATTTTGAAACTACTATTTTGGACTGCAGTAGTTTTAAACCTTCACACATGAAACTTAATACCTACTTTAGCCTTTGAGTGTGCTTTTTTTTCTCCCAAATGAATAAGTTTTATTTTTTAATTAATTTTTTTTTTTTTTTTTTTTTTTTTAAAGACGGGGTTTCACCATGTTGGTCAGGCTGGTCTTGAACTCTCAACCTTAGGTGATCCACCCGCCTTGGCATCCAAAGTGCTTGGATTACAGGCATGAGCCACCATGCCCGGCCTTTAATTAATTTTTTAATTGAGAATGGGTTCTTGCTGTGTCGCCCAGGCTGTAGTGCAGTGGTACAATCACAGCTCACTGCAGCCTACCTCCCAGGCCAAAGCAATCCTCCCACATCAGCCTATTTTGTTAACTAAAAATAAAATTCCTGAATCCTCATCTTATGAAAGAGTCCGTAGGTGAAAATCAGTTCTGCAGAATAGTTCTTATGGAGTGGACACACAAAATAGACTCATCTGAGTGAAGAAAAATTGTGATTCTTTTTTTTTCCTCTTAACTTTACATGATAAATATATTGAACGTGAAATTGTTTACAGTGTTTTGATGTGTCACATCTAAAAGTCATACCATGGCCAGCCATGGTGGCTCATACCTGTAATCTCAACACTTTTGGAAGCTGAGGCAGGAGGATTGCTTGAGCTTAGGAGTTTGAGACCAGACCAAGACCTGGACTCTACTAAAAAAGTTTAAAAATTGACCAGGCAGGGTGGTGTGTACCTGTTGTCCTAGTTATTCAGGAGGCTGAGGTGGAAGGATTGCTTGAACATAGGAGTTGAAGGCTGCAGTGAGCTGTGATTGCACCATTGCATTCCACCCTGGGCAACACAGCGAGACCCTGTCTCAAAAAAACAAAACAACTGTCATATCTCATTAAAATCTCAGTGAACTTTAAAGTTTAGGGTCAGTTTTTAAGCTTGGCTCTCTGTTAAATCACTTATGATGGATTTCATAGAAACAGTGGTTCACAGAATCCTTTAAATGCTGCAATCTGGGTTTAGGCTACACCTGTCATTTTAATTCACATGTTGGTGTGGATGGTAATAGATTTGCTTTAAAGATCTTTGGAAAGGTTATTTTAGTCTCTCTAGGTTAGACTTGGGGCAGCTTCAGATGAGATTCTATGATTCAGTTTAGAGAACTCCCACAAGGTCCAGATCTCTAACAGAGAAAAGCACTCTTTAATATTTCATTGCATCAAAAAAAAAATGCCATTGATTACAGGATACATCCTAGTTTTAGGCATGTTAAACTATGAAAAAATGTATTACAGAATTGATGAAATATTGGCAAGGTCTTATATGTTATACCTTTGTCATGTTTATATACCAGGGTTTTTCCAAATGAATTTCATATTCTATTACTTCTCCCCCAACGTGAGTTTTATAATGTAACTTCACGTGGTTTCTTGGATTTTCTCAGTGTGTCAGTTACTCCAAGTGTAAAAAGTTTAATTTTTATTAGAGTTACTTACCTTGTGAAGTAATGCTGGTATCTTTCTTGTTTTTCAGGTTGACACCAACAAAGATCGTATTGACATTGCCAATGCCAGAGCAAAGAAACTCATTGACAGCTAAAGCTACTGCTGTACTTGTTTATCATTTATTCACTTCCGTTGCTCCTCCTCAAAAGTTGTTACCTTTTCAGAGTTTAAATTTTCGGTTCCACACACTTCTAATTGGGAGATAATGGGCCAGAGCGGTAACAGCCCTCCTGCTTTTTTGTTTTCTGTTGGGGGCCTACTGCTGCTCGGCCTTCCTTCTAGTATTTTCTTCCTTAGTTCATACATCTAGGTTGATTTTCATACATCATGTATAGTGTTTTCATCCTCCTCATGTACTTCAGCAGGTTCTTTTGCTTTCAAGATTTGGAAGCATTGCCAAAGACGGCCATGAAGAAGGAAGCTGTAGAGGTGGTTTTTGTTTGTTTTTGTTGTTCGTTTTTTTTTTTTTTTTTTTTTTTTTTTTTTTTGCTTTTGTAGAGGGAGGGGCAAGAGATAAGAGGTTGTCGACTCAGTAAAAACCTTCAGGCCACTAAGCAAAAAGTTGCATAACCACAGTGAAGATCTAGTTGGATATAGTTTTTAAGTTGCAGTTATTGCCAATTTAGGCTAATGCTTGGTTTTGGAGCTCTTATATACAATATTTTTGTTAGGAATCACAGTTTTGCAACCTCTACTCCAAAGAGAAATTATAGAATGAGTTTTCTTAAAGTTAGCTTAATTTCTGAACTCTTAGTGATTCATATATGTACATAAATCTGTGATCCCATTTCTTATTGCACCACTCAGGAACACTTTGTATAAATGAGTGGCTTTTTATTTCACATTATTAGTAGTATCATGGTTCCATTATAGGCCTATTAACTTCATACATTGTCATTAGCCTTTGAAGAAAAAAATATGTAAATATATGTGTAACATAAGACTTTCTCTCTAAAACAGGGCTTAAAATTTTTTGGAAAAGTTTGACAAAGTATACCACGTGAATTCAGATTTACCCCAATGGTAAGAATTATGTTTTGTTACAAAAAAGGAAACTCATTTTGATCTCAGATAGAAAAATAGATTGCATTGAGTTTTATGTAGCTTTAGACTTTAAAAAGTTAGAATGTATTCTGTGTTACTAAAAGTGATTTGAAAAAATTATGCCTCTGGTATAATAATTATAGATTACACACTGTCTTTCTCTTACCCTTGTGTATTGAACTATGTCCATAATCAAGTTGATGTGAATCCTGAACAGTGTTATGAAAATCTGATTGCTATTTGTCACATTTATTTTAAAATCAGCATCTGAACACTTCAAAGCTGTCAGTGTGGATTGGTTTGACCAATATTCACTGCTTAATCCTTAAAATTAAATTTTGTAACTAACTAATGATATTGCTCTTTCAAATAGGTAACATGTTTCTATGACTGTTACTTTGGGGACAGTATTTTCATCAGCTCTCGTTTAACAAATTAAATAAAGGTCCATAAATCAGGAAGCATTCCAACAGAAGCTGCTTTTACCATCTTTCCAGTATTTATTTAAAAGACTTAAACTTACCTTGCTAAAATTTGTTGTGAGGTTCTTTTTTTTTTTAAGACAGTCTTGCTGTGTTGCCAGGCTGTTGGAGTGCAATGGTGGCATCTCGCTCACTGCATCCTCTGACTCCCTGGTTCAAGCAATTCTGCCTCAGCCTTCCGGGTAGCTGGGATTACAAACAGACACACACTACCATGCCCAGCTAATTTTTGTATTTTAGTAGAGATGGTTTCACCATGTTGGTCAGGCCAGGCTGATCTCAAACTCCTGAGCTCATTATCCACCTGCCTCGGCCTCCCAAAGTGCTGAGATTACAGGCATGAGCCACTGTGCCTGGCCATGAGGTTGATTTTAATCGTTACTAGTCTTACTCCCTTGAGCTTAAGTACACTAGTGACTGGAAGGGTAATGTTTCTGTGCGAGAACTACAACTCAGACACTGGAGAAGAAACCGTTAACGTAGGAGCATTCAAAGCTTGAAGAGGAAAAATACTTAAATAAAGTGAGATGCAACTATACCCTCTGTAATAGAAATGCTTCATGTCAACATGAGTGGTTTGGCAGGTGATGGTAAATGTGTAAAGTAAGAAGGTGTAAAACAGGGAGGACTGTGCTTTACCTAAATGCCGTTCTGAAAACTATCACCAAAAAAAAAAATCTTAACACTGTTCTGGATAAAGGAAATAGTTCTGAGAATACCAGCATGTTACACTCACAGTATAATGGGTTAGAAGCATGGGCTGAGGCATTATCTGAATTTTCACTCTAGCAGAAGTGACAGAAAGGTCATTTCTGTGCCTTAATTTGTCTGTAAATGCAGATTAATACAAGCATACCTCAAATACTGTGGGTTCAGTTCTAGACCACCACCATAAAAAGCTAGTATTGCAATAAAATGAGTCACATGAATTTTTTGGTTTCCCAATGCATATAAAAGTTCTGTTTGCACTATTCTGTAGTCTATTGTGTGAAATAGCATTATGTATTTAAAAAGCAATGTATATACCTTAATTTAAAATACTTTATTGTGGCCGGGCGTGATGGCTCACGCCTGTAATCTTACCACTTTGGGAGGCCGAGGCAGGCAGATCACGAGGTCAGGAATTTGAGACCAGCCTGGCCTGATCAACATGGTGAAACCCTGTCTCTACTAAAATTACTCGCCTGTAATCTTAGCACTTTGGGAGGCTGAGGCAGTTGGATCACTTGAGGTCAGGAGTTTGAGACCAGCCTGGCCAACATGGTGAAACCCTAACTCTATTAAAAATACAAAAATTAGCTGGGCCTGGTGTCACACACCTGTAATTCCTCCACTGAAGTCTTGAAATGCTCATTCATCCATGAGGTTTGGAATAAACTTCCAAGCCCCTGTTAATGTTGATATTTTGACCTCTTCTCATGAATCATGAATGTCCTTAATGGCATCCTTTCCAGAAGGTTTTCAGTTTACTGAAAACCGGATCCATCAGAGGAATCACTATGGCAGCTACACCTTTATGAAATTTCTTTCTTAAGTAATAGGACATGAAAGTTGAAATGACTCCTTGATTCAAAGGCTGTTGTATGGATATGTTAGCAAGAATGAAAACAACACAACATTAATCTTGTACTTCTTCATCAGAGCTTGTGGGTGACCAGATGCTCTGATGCTCGTTATCAATGAGCAATAACATTTAGAAAATAATTTTTTTTTCTGAGCAGCAGTTCTCATCAGTAGGTTTAAAATATTCAGCAAATCTTGCTGTAAACAGATGTGTTATCCAGGTTTCATTGTTTCATTTATAGAGCACAGGTAGAGTAGACTTAGCGTGATTCTTAAGGTCCCTATATTTTCAAAATGGTAAATGAGCAATGGCTTCAGCTTGAAGTCACCAGGCTGTATTAGCCTCTGACAAGAGAGTCAGCCTGTCTTTTGAAACAAGTTAGGCATTGACTTTTCTCTAGCTGTGGGGTTCCTAAATGGTGTCATTTTCCAATAGAAGGCTGTTTAATCTACATTGAACAACTATTGTTTACCGTAGCCACGTTCATCAGTTATCTTGATAACTTCCTGCAGCTTTTCTGTTAGCACTTGCTGCTTCACCTTCCACTTCTATGTTAACAGATACAGCTTCTTTCCTTAAACCTGACGAACCAACCTCTGCTAACTTGCAACTTTTCTTTTGCAGCTTCCTCACCTCTCAGCCTTTATAGCATTGAAGGGAGTTTAGGGGCTTTTTCTGGATTAGGCTTTGGCTTCAAGGAATGTTGTGGCTGGTTTGATCTTCTATCCAGACCACTAAGCCTTTATCCATATCAGCAAGAAAGTTGTTTCTCTATCTAATTGTTCATGTGTTTACTGGAGTAACACTTTTAACTTCCTTCAAGAACTTTTCCTTTGCATTCACCACTTGGTTAATTGGTGCAAGAGGCCTAGCCTTTGGCCTGTCTTTTTTTTTTTTTTTTTTTTTTGAGACGGAGTGCTGTGTCACCCAGGCTGGAGCACAGTGGTGCAATCTTAGCTCACTGCAACCCCTGCCTCCTGGGTTCAAGCGATTCTTCTGCCTCAGCCTCCCAAGTAGCTGGGATTACAGGTGTGTACCACCATGTCTGGCTAATTTTTGGATTTTTAGTAGAGATGGGGTTTCGCCATGTTGGCCAGGCTGGTCTTGAACTCCTGACCTCAGGTGAGCCACCTGCCTTGGCCTCTGAAAATGCTGGGATTACAGGTCACTGCGCCCAGCTGTGACTCTTGTTTTCACTTGAACTTTGTGGCCATTGCAGGGTTATATATTGGCCTCATTTCAATATTCTGTCTCAGAGATTAGGGAGGCCCAAGAGAGGAGAGTAATAAGAAATGGCTAGTTATTGGAGCAGTCAAAAAACACATTTATCAATTAAGTTTGCCATCTATGGCTTGGGCAAGAAAATGAGACTGTTTCTACAAAAAAATTTTAAGTTAGACAGGTGTGGTGGTGCATACCTGTAGTCTCAGCTACTCAGGAGGCTGAGATGTGATGATCCCATGAGTCTAGGGGGTTGAGGCCGTGGTGAGCCATTATTGCGCCACTGCACTACAACATGGGTGAGAGAGCGAGACCCTGTCAAAAAAGTTTGCCATCTTATATTGGCAAAACAGTTAAAATAGTATTGTCAATGATCACAGATCACCATAACTGATGTCATAATAATAAAGTTTTAAATATTGTGAGAATTATCAAAATTTAACACGAAGTGAGAACATGTTGGAAAGATGGCACTGACAGACTTACCTGATGTAGGGCTGCCACAAACTATTTGTGGAAAAACTTAATGAGTCTCAGTAAAATGAGGTATGCCTGTAATTCCTATTGCATAGCATTGTATTGCATAGAGTGGTAACACAGGTAAAGCACTTAGAACAGTTTCTGGCAAATGTAAGAGCTTAATAAGTGATAGCTGCTATCCTCTCTACAGTGTAGCTCTTTCTGGTCAAGCATCTCTGTGTGAATTTGATGAAAGACAACATAGCCTCTCCCCAGAGAAACAGGCACACAAATGCGAATCCTGCATAAATGAAGACCATAAATGGAAAATGGGCTTGGAAGCCCACCCATGGAGCCCAGGTTTAAAACTTTCCCATAGCATCTGCTACTGACAAAGAAGAGAATAGAAATAGGAATTAGACCTCATCATGCATTAGAAATAGCTGTTCAAAAAGCCCTTTCTGATTTTCTCCCATAACATTATCTGGAAATTTGTTTCACTTTTGAAAGGTAGTAAATGGTTAACACAAGTTCTGGAGTCTGACCATTCGGGATCAAATTTTGGTTCATTCATTTAGTTGTGGGGCCTTGAGCATAATACTGACCAATAAGTAAGGAGGTTAAAAAATTGTATCCCCCACTGAGCTTGGTTTTTTTTTTTTTTTTTTTTTTTTTTTTATGGGGGTTTTTTTTTTTTTCCCAGGCTGGAGTGCAATGGCGCGATCTCG